TTGATGCTTGCTGCGTCCAATGTGAATTAGGCATTAGGCATTAGGACGCGTTCATACCTTGACGGAAAAGCAGAAAGCGGAAAAGTAGTGACCAATCACAACTCGCGCTGGTAGTGAGTAATACAAAAAGCCGAAATTGTCGACTACCAGCGCGAGTTCTGATTGGCTGCTGCTTTTTCGCCTTCTGCTTTTCCGTCAAGGTGTGAACGCGCCCTTAGGCTCGGCCACTGAGACTCGAGCGATAGTGGGGGTCGTTCGCTGGAATCAGCTCGAAATGTGCATCTAATTCCGAGTACTATAAAGCCGGAATCAGACTAGGCATTAAAGATTGAGATTGAAGATTGAAAGATTGAAATTTGATCAATCAAAACAATAGGAGCTAAAATTCCTTTGCTCTCATTGGTCAAATTTCAATCTTCGATCTCAATCTTCAATGCGTAGTCTGATTCCGGCCTACGGGGCTGCGCACAATGAGGGGCTGCGTCCTGAATGCGTAGAGTGGGGCGAATCCCTAAGGCCCAAAGCTTCCTTCGCTCTCACTGTTTCCGGTTTGTTGACTTGTGTGGATCAATTTGTTGATGGCTCCCGGGGTCCCGCTTGTAAGCCATGCGTAAGCCACGTGTTCATTTTTAAATATTAATCCGACTCTATTTCACTGCATCCTAATCCACAACTTTTCCTTAAAGTTCCTTGAAGCCTTACAAATCTTTTATTAATGTTCGTAGACGTTAGCGTACGTAATTTCAACATTAATGTAACTTTGAAGAAGTTCCTACCTCATGCTCTTAGCTAACTGATAATTATGTAATCCGTAGTGTGTAATTTGTGTTTAAAATAACCTTAACTCTAGCGTACATTACTACCGTGTGCTCATAGTTGATTTGCAGTTAATGTTTAATAGTTTTGACACTAAAATAGCTTACATTAGCACCACATGCTCTCAATTAACTATAATTTCATAATCGGTGATTTGTAGCTTGTCTAACGATCTTAGTACTAGCATAAACTCGAGTAATATCAACCATAAGTCCTTAATAAATCCCATAATTAAGTAAATGTTAGTAGCTTACGACGATTGCAGAAGAAAGTAGAGGTAAGTAATTAGCGAGTACGTAGACATATAAATGAATATTTTCTAAGGACTTAGATATAGTAAACTTAAATGATTAAATGATATTTGCAAGTGCTCGAGGAATTATTTTGCGTTCCCTTCCCCTCAGATTCGACATTCCTTTTCCTAAAATCGTTAGTGTAATAGCGAATTTGGCAGATTGCACTAGTGCGTACTTTTTCAGTGCCATGCATTCGGCTTGTGCGAACTGTATCAGTGCGTTAAGGTTATCGTACTCGGCAAATGAATACTGACCAGTGACCCAGTGTAGTGCTGAATTTATATTCGGACCAACCAAGGGAACAGGGGGTCGATTATGTATCTCAAAATGAGGTGAAAATTACAAAAGTGAGCAAATTCATTAGTTATTGACCAATTAAATTCGCTGCTTTCCATTTGATCACACAAATCGACACAAGCGTCGTTTTATCCTTCTTGGACATTCAGAGAGTGACAAAGGTAGAACGATACTTGTGTCGACTGTGTCTCTTAAAAGGAAAGCAGCCATTATGAGTATTCTAATGAATTTGCTCACTTTTGTAATTTTCACATTATTTCGAGATACATAATCGACCCTCTGAACGAGTTCAAGAAATATTGCACTGATGTTTCTGATAGTGCAATTTGGCATAGCACTAGAGTGTAGCTGCACTCGCACCATGTCAGGACAACACTAGAGCTGCGTTCGGAAACCACCCGAGTGCCCCAATGCATCGTTCTATCCTTGTTTTACCCAATGTTAAATACGGATAAGATGATACCCGAGTGATATTTCCGAACGCAGCCTAGAGCAGAGTCAGTGTGTCATCTGTGCCGAATTCGCCATAAGTGTTACAATGAGCAAGTCATCACGCAAGACGCCAAGCCATGCCAGTCGCCACGCTAGCCGCCACGCCAGTCGCCATGCCAGCCGCCACGCAAGCCGCCATGCAAGCCGCTACGCAGACCATTAGAGACCCAAGGAAATTGGCAAGTCACGCTGTAGCTGGCCGAGAATGAGGTAATCGCTGAGCCATGCTGACACCCGCAAGGACCGTCAAGGTGAGTCAATTCCGCTTAATTCACTGCGCTGGGCCTTCACGCAATGTTGCCAGTGGGGACGCGCTTTCTCGCGCGCGCGACTTCAACAACGTATCAAGTTCACAAGAATAATTATGTATCTTAATAATTATGTATCTCTATAAAATCTAGTAGTTTATCTGGAACAAAAGAATACGGGTTCTAAAGGTATTCGTATTCTTGTGAATTTGATACGTTGTTGAAGTCGCGCGCGCGAGAAAACGCGTCCCCGCTGGCAACACTGCCTCCACGTTGCCCAGCACTTACAGCCACACTAGCGTTGCCAATCTCCGCATTATCAAAAATCGTACTAACAGTACAAAATTATCATATTTTGATTAAAATTATCATACTTTTTTTTGTTAGATATACATTTTTATTAGGTCTGTTCGCGTTGCTTGCATTTTTTGCATTCAGCATCTTCGCTTTCTCTTTTTTTAATGCCCAAATATATATCTATCTCATTTTAAGTATAAAAATTTTTCGGTTTCAAGCAACGCAAGACAACAGCTCTATATTGAATAGATATATTTTTTAATGAAAAAAAAACAATATTGAATATTTGTAAATATTTATTTTTAAAATTAAAGTTTTTAATGTAAATAACTTGTAATTATAGGCTCACTAGAAAATTTTTTTAAGTATTACATTTATAAGTCTCCTTCGTTATACATAAATTATATAAATTATACAACACTACGGAACATTTTAAAAAATTTTAAGTACATAAATATTTACTTAACTTTGGTTATATATAATAGGAACCATATAGGAAACATAAACACTAGAAAATATTTTTTTTTAATTACATACGTAAATCTTTTTGGTTATATAGAAAAAAAAACAATAAGGAACAACTTTTAACCTTTTGAGGACGGGACTGGCCAGTATATTGACCAAGTGACCGCTCACAAACTTGGCGACTCTACGTACATTCAAGATGTACATTCAATATATGGATA